GCGAATCGTGAGGCTGGCGGTGCATGCACATGCTACCCCTCAGTTGTGCTTGTTCAGGTTGGCTGCCTCGGCGCCGCTGCCGCCCGCGGGCCGCTGCTCGCCGTCCCGTAGACGTTCGCGAGCCCGCGCCAGCGTGGCCAACTGGCCACAGTGAGCCGCGTCGGAGCGGCGATCGACGATCGGCAGGTCCGTGACCTTAGCCGCTCGGCGCCCTTCCGTGACCTTAGCCGCTCGGCAGGTCCGTGACCTTAGCCGCTCGGCCCGGCCGGAAGAGGCGCCTTTGCCCTTGCCCGTGTGGCGTCCGAGGCACTTGTCGCCAAGGCGAGCCCTGAGGGGAGGGGGGAAGCAGGCTGTCGCAGCGGGCGTCGCGAAGGCAACGGGGCGTGTCGCTTGGCCGTGATGCCGCTTGGTTTCGGATTCTGCGTGCTCGTCTTGGCCCTGGGTCCGCAACGACTCCGAAGACGGACCCCGGGCGACAGCCAGAAGTCAGGAGGGAAAGAAACACAGACACAATTAATCGTCGATTCCCAGGAGGATGTGGGAAAATATGGGAAATGGGGGGGGAGAACGAAAACCAAGAGAAAATATTGAAAAACATAGGGAGTCCTGGGATTTATGCTTATTTATTTGTGTGTCCCTGGGCCCCTGTATCAGGTCATGCGTCGCCAGGACAGAGTGCAGATCTCGGGGCCGGCGCCACGGAATGGCAGCAGCATCGCATGTCGTGTGCCCGGCCACTCAACCTCCTCGCCTCGAGCAAGAAGCAATGGTAACGATTCGTGCCAAGACTTGTGATGTTCCGACCTGCTTTAGCCTTGACCACCAGAACGAATTTCGAGCACCAAGAAATTACCGAATCTCGAGGTTTTTCAAGCGTCGGGCCCTGGGGGGCGATACTCGTTCTACGCTGATTCGATACTTTTCGGGGTACTCGAGATTATTTTTGGGATGTGGTCCTTAAGTTTGATGGGAGCAGCGTAAGCCAAGACTTCATGGCTTGCAGATTTCCTAGAGTTCCTGTTGTTCCAGACGGGCCCCGTAACCGAGGGCAGCTAGATATGCCGTATTTCTTGTAACGTGTCCTGAGCCGATCGTATCATGTAATCAGTCTCGTATTTCGATTGGCTCAGGATGTTGTTCGGCCCATCTGCCGTCGCCGGGATGATGATTGTAGGATCCGCGTGGCTTCGAGCGCAGGCCCCTGATTGTAAGCTTAGATCGTCCCCAGCGTTTCCAATCCGGTCCTTCCCCTCCTCCTGGTAATTCTCCCCCAGCGCCCCCTCCCGAAGGGAAAATCTAACGTCTCGCCTTGCTTCTGTTGCTCTAGCCCGGACGAGTCTCCTTCTCTGCCCAGGCCGAGATCAAGGGCCTGAAAGAAGCGCTCGCGATCCTCAACGATGAGACCGCGCCCAGCCTGCTCCAGGACTTTGTCACCGATGCTGTTTTGGAGGACGGGGAGGATAGTTGGCCACCATGCTAATTGAATCTTCATGTGATCCAGCACACTCTGCGTATGTATACCTAGATCTATTGTCATAAGCACCTCTCCGAGGGAGTAGAACTCAGAGGCGATGAATTGAGGCCGTCCCGTTCGCGATGTGTTTGGCGGTTTCGGTCGGGACAGCCTCATCATTCTGAAAATCGGACGCACCCCTCACGCAGATCGCGACGTCACGGTTAAACAAACAATGGGCTTCCCAGAATTAAGCGTGAAGCCTTAAAACAGTAGTTTTCAATTGGACGTCGCGCTCTTGACCACATGCCGTTTCGCGTGAGACATGTGCCGACATTAGGACCCGACGTATTCAACAATATCCTCCATACTCTTTACACATCGGCAGGTTCGCTCGAGACATCCCCCAAACATTGGCTTCAAGGCTCGGTTTCAATTGCACTCGAAAGTTGTGGAATACCCTCCTGCGCCACATACACACATTTTCACACACACACACACACACGCACACACGCACACGCGCACACACGCACACACGCACACACGCAGTCTCGCACACACACGCACTCGCGCGCAAATGCACACACGCACACGCACAATCGCACACACGCACACAGGCACACACGCATGTTTAATCGGCTTGGGGAGGGGCGTTGCCCAGCAGAGGGCGCTGCACAATATAACATGGGCACATTCATCACCAAGGATGCTGTTTCAATCAGCTTGGGGAGGGGCCTTGCCCAGCAGAGGGCGCTGCACTGCACGTGGTGCACGTCTAGAACATTTTGTATAAACATCTGCTTGGGGATAAGCCTTGCACAGCAAAGGACGCTGCACAATGATGGAGGCAAGTCTAGCACCAAGGATGCGTTTTTAATCAGCTTTGGGGGGGCCTTGCCTAGCAGAAGGCGCTGCACATCAAGGGTGGCACGCCTGACACCAAGCAAGTATGTTTGAATCTGCTCTGGGATGGGGCTTTGCCCAGCAGAGGGCGCTGCAGCAGAGGACGCTGCACAGCCGTGGGCGCCGCGTCTAACCCCAAAGATGCTTTTTCAATCATTTCGGGTAGGGGCCTTGCCCAGCAAAGGGCGCCGCACTGCACGTGGAGCACGACGAGAACAAACCATGCTTTTGTAATCGGTTCGGAGAGGGGCCTTGCCCAGCAGAGGGCGCTGCACAATAACAGGGCCACATCTATCACCAAGGATGTTTTTCCAATCGGCTTGGGGAAGGGCCTTGCCCAGCAGAGGGCGCTGCGCAGTAATAGGGGCGCATCTAGCACCAGGGATGTTTTTCAGTCAGCTTGGGGAGGGGCCTTGCCCAGCAGAGGGCGCTGCACAATGAGCGGGGCAAGTCTAGTACCAATGATGTTGTTTGAATCAGCTTGGGGAGGGGCCTTGCCTAGCAGAGGCTGCCGCGCAATACCGGGGGCATGTCTAGCGCCGAGGATTCTGTTTTGTTCTCATATGTGTAGATATGTATATATATATATGCATACGCGTGTGTGTTTAAACGGAACATCAGTTGGGGGAGGGCCTTCGCCCAGCTGAGGGCGTCGCAGCAAAGGACGCTGCGCAGCAGAGGGGGGAACGTCTAACCCCAAGGATGTTTTTGTTTTCATCAGTTTAGGGAGGGGCCTTGCCCAGCAGAGGGCGCTGCATTGCACATGGGGAGCACGGCGAACTGTAAATATTTAATCAATCATCAGCTTGGGCGCTGCAGATACGAACGCAATGGGGTAGTTGCATGCGTTTGGGGAGAGGCCTTGCCTGGCAGCAGGCGCTGCGCAGCCTGCCACCACGTCGCTTGGCCACCAGATGGCATGGTGGTCTGGCGGTCCACCCGGCCATCAGACCACGCACCAAAACGGGAGATGGGAAAGAACGTACCAAGCCAAGCTTTGGTACGTTTTTTTTCTCTCCCTTGTTTTTTCGACCGAGCCGTGATGGGGGGGCATCATCAAACCAACGGGTGCGCAACAGCTGGGCACATAGCACATACCACAAGAGGGTCTCGCGGTCTCGAGGTCCCCCAAAACACCAGAAACCACCAGACCATCAGACCGTGTTCCCGTGCGTGTCGATGGCCAGAGGGATGTTGTGAGAGTGAAGCCAGACAATATTCGCCCGCAGCCATGGAAGCAGATTTGTTACGAGTTGATTACGTGAGTGTCGCCCCCCCCCCTCGTGCTCTCCCTCGTTCGCCTTGCCCTCTGTTTTTCCCCTCCCTCTCCCCTGTGCCGCGCGCAGTGGTAGTATCAGTACTCGGGCAGCTATCCGCCCCATTTCAGTTTCAGTTTCAGTTTCAGACCATCAGACCAGGTCTGGTGGTTTGGCGGCCCACCAGACCTTCAGACCACCAGACCACCTGAACACGAGACCAGATCTGGTGGTCTGGCGGACCACCAGACCACCAGACCACCAGACACCAGACGGGGTTTGGTGCTCTTTCGGACCACCGGACCACAAAACCACCATACCACCAGACCAGGTCTGGTGGTTTGGCGGACCACCAAACCACCAAACCATCTGACCAACTCTGGTGGTCAGGCGTTCCACCAGGCCACCACACCACCAGACCACCAGACCAGACCACCACCACACCACCAGACCGCCAGATCGCCAGGCGTCCACATTACCAGACCAGGCCACCAGACCGCCAAACAACGAGACCACCAAACCACCAGACCACCAAACAACCAGACCGCCAGACCACCAAACCTCCAGAACAGCAGACTACCAGACCACCAGACCGCGAGACCACCAGACTGGCACCTGCTTGTGGGCGACGCCGGTCTCCTCATCGTTGCCCGTCTCCCGCCGTTCGCTGACGGCCAAACCGCCAAACCATAATAGGAGAGGGAGAAACAACACACCAAAAACTTGTTTGGTAATTCTGTTTCCGCGGGCCGCCTTGCGGCTCTGCCAGGCCGCCGTGGGTCCCCCAAAACCACCACATGGGCTGAGCCTGCGCCGTTGTTGTTCCTTTTCGTTCTCCTCTTCCTGCCTTTGGAATGCTTACCGCCTCCTCGTCCTCGTCTTCCGTAGTCACAATCACTCGGCATTATTCTACCCATTCTTGCACCATCATAATTTTGCTTCGCCTCCTCCTTGCTCACCATTACTCCTCATGTTGTTCATCCTCTTCGCTCCCCTCTTCTTCACGTGCTCGCTCCCACACTTCCCCATCCTCATGCATCGCGCTCCTCCTCCACCTCCTCCTCCTCTTCCTCCTCCTCTTCCTATTCACCATCATCCGTAGCCATGTTGGCTCAAGGTGGAAACGTTCGCCCCTGGCGCTTCGACCTCGTTCGAAGCCGACTGGAAGCTCGAGGCGCAGGCGCAGCGGCCTGCATCTTCTGCCCTGTTTGCTGCCCCCCCCCCCCCTCCCCGCTCGGACGCCCCGCGCCGGGGCTCGCGCGGCCATGGTCGGCGGCGGATGCCGCGATCAAGGAGTTGACTGGTCAGGCGACTAAGATTAACGAGGCCCTCGCGAATGTCTCGGCTCAGGCTGGGGAACTTGCTGCCAGCATTGCTGCTTGGCAGAAGAGCATGAGGCAACGGGAAGAGAACATCGCTAAGACTGAGGCCGAGATTCAGAAACTTCGAAACATATCCAGTATCGGGCCTTCGTCGCCCCAGGCTTCCGAGGGCCCGTTCAAGAAGTTCCGTGGGTTGCCATTTCCCCGCGGTGGAAATTCTGCTCTCCTGTCCAGGGCCATCCTTGTGGGTTCCGGTGAAGTGTTCACTCGGAAGGTCTTTCACGACGCAGATGTGGTCGTTGTTTCTGCGTTCGCTGAAGAAGAAGTGAAGGAAGCCATGAATGTGACGCCTGCGAATGTCTGGAAGAAAAGCATGTTGTCATTCCTGCGTCCTTTTCGGCGGATGCGGCTGAGCGCGCCTTGATGGCGTTTCGGAAGCACTTTCCTAACGTTTCGGGCTGCAGACCCCGAAGGGCCCCAAGACGCTCCGTTTGACGCCTTTCCGTGATGCCGAGACGACTGAGCAGTTAACAGTTTTGGGGATGGTCCGCGGTGAGCTCGAAGAAGTTGCGAAGGCCTCTCCCCTTCTGAACGACTGGTCTATCGAGTCTTCGGTCAGCAACGGGTGCATCTTTGCGCCGGATGCCGTCTCGGGCGATGCAGCAAAGCTCTACCGCGTCCCCAAGCTCGCCTCTCCGTCCGACATGCCGCGTGTGATTGCCTTTGCGTGCCACTTCGCGCACATCGGTCTCGGCGATAAGCATCTGTCGGTTGTGGATCGGGTGATTGGCCAGTTGAGTCGCTGACGACTCTGAGTCTCCAACATATGAGGGGGCCCTGTCTGGGGCTGGTTGGCTTGCGCAGGACGTCGCCTCGCTCCCGCGCGCCGCGCGGGCCAATTTCGCGAGGCGCAACTCGTTCTCGGGGAGATCGGGGCGCAGCAGTTCTCCCTTTCCTGCCGAAGATACCTCCATCATATGTCACGTGGAGCGCGATGGGCGGTTGTGTCGAAGTGTTAGCAGCGCGAAGGGTCGCGCGTGCACTCGTTGGCGCATCTTCACGGGGCAGCTGCAGAAGCGCCTGATTGCGCGCGGCCGAGAGCCCGATGGGCACTCTGGGGGCGTGGTCGCTCTTAAGGAAGATCTGCTCTCGCAACTTCGTCCTGGATGCCCACCCTAATGGCGCCCCTGGGCGCGGAGTCTTGTCATGTTTCAGTGCCGCGTTGGCGGGCGTGTCTTCGGGCTTCTCTCTGAAGTTTTCGAATCCTGGTAAGGCGTCGCATCTGCCAGCATGGCGAGGGACTGGTCCGTTGGGGGTTGTCTCTATTCACGTGCCGAATGTCGACGCAGGGATCGGTCACTGCCGCCGTTTTCTTTCTGCTGTGTATTCCGCTTCACTTCCATCCTCTAAAGCATCTCACTTCCTGCTGGGGGCATTCAACTTAGTCTTTACTGATAATGTCCGATTCAATCTTGAGACGGGGGCTGCCAGTTTTAGGGGCGCTGCCTTCTCTCGCGAATGGAATGATTCTTTTGGGGGCTGGACT